AGTGCCTCTGTGTCCTTACTGATTTTCTGTCCAGTTGATCTATCCTTCAGAGTGAGTGGAGTGTAGAAGTTTCTTAGAATGAATGCATTGCATTCTATTTCCCCTTTTAATTCAGTTAGTATTTGTTTCACATATGTAGGTGCTCCTGTGTTGGGAGCATAGATATTTATAATGGTTATATCTTGTTGGATTGATCCCTTTATCATTATGTAATGTCCTTCTTTGTCTCTTGTGACTTTGTTTTGAAGTCTATTTTGTCTGATACAAGTACTGCAACACCTGCTTTTTTCTCTGTAATAGTTGCATGAAATATCTTTTTCCATCCCTTCACTTTTAGTCTGTGTATGTCTTTGGGTTTAAAGTGAGTCTCTTTTAGGCAGCATATAGATGGGTCTTTTTTTTTATCCATTCAGTGACTTTGCATCTTTTGATTGGTGCATTCAGTCCACTTACATTTAGGGTGATTATCGATAGGTATGTACTTATTGCCATTTTAGTCTTTAGATTCGTGGTTACCAAAGGTTCCAGGTTACTTTCCTTACTATCTAAGAGTCTAACTTAACTCACTTACTATGCTGTTACAAACACAATCTAAAGGTTCTTTTCTTTTTCTCCTCCTCCATTCTTTATATATTAGGTATCATTCTGTATTCTTTGTCTATCTCTTGATTGACTTTGGGGATAGTTAATTTAATTTTGCATTTGCTTAGTAATTAGGTGTTCTACTTCCTTTACTGTTGTTTTATTACCTTTGGTGACAGCTATTCAACCTTAGGAACACTTCCATCTATAGCAGTCCCTCCAAAATAGACTGTAGAGATGGTTTGTGGGAGGTAAATTCTCTCAGCTTTTACTTATCTGGAAACTGTTTAATCCCTCCTTCAAATTTAAATGATAATCTTGCCAGATAAAGTAATCTTGGTTCCAGGCCCTTCTTCTTCATTGCATTAATTACATCATGCCACTCCCTTCTGGCCTGTATGGTTTCTGCTGAGAAGTCTGATGTTAGCCTGATGGGCTTTCCTTTGTATGTGATCTTATTTCTCTGTCTGGCTCCTTTTAATAGTATGTCCTTATCGTTGATCTTTGCCAGTTTTATTACTATATGTCTTGGTGTTGTCTTCCTTGGTTCCCTTGTTTTGGGAGATCTGTGGATCTCCATGTCCTGAGAGACTATCTCCTTCCCCAGATTGGGGAAGTTTTCAGCAATTACCTCGTCAAAGACACTTTCTATCCCTTTCTTTCTCTCTCTTCTTCTGGTATCCCTATAATGTGAATATTGTTCCATTTGGGTTGGTCACACAGTTCTCTGAATAATCTTTTATTCTTAGAGCTACTTTTTTCTCTCTGTGCCTCAGCTTCTTTGTATTCCTCTTCTCTAGTTTCTATTTCATTTATTGTCTCCTCCACCATGTCTGATCTGCTTTTAATACCCTCCATTTGTGCTCTTCAATGATTGGATCTCCGACTGAAATTCATTCCTGAGTTCTTGAATATCTTTCTGTACCTTCATTAGCATGTTAATTATTTTTATTTTGAACTCCCTTTCAGGAAGAGTCATGAGGTCCATGTCATCTTTCTCAGGGGTTCTATTAATTTTACTCTGTACCAGGTTCCTTTGGTGTTTCATATTTGTGTATGGTGCCCTCTCATGTCCAGAAGCTCTACTCACTGGAGCTGCTCAGCCCCTTAAGCAATGTTGGGGGTCGTAGGGGAGCGGTATTGGTGCCTGGGGGGAGGAAAAAGCGGTTTCCTGTTTCCCGGCTTCTATGCCTTTCTGCACTGCCTAAACCAGTGGTCTGAGCACACAGGTATAAGTTTTTGTCCCAGAGCAGCCGGATATGGACCCCTGCTTTCCACAAGTGGCCAGAATCCCATCTTCCCAGGAACTCCGCCTATCCCAGGTTTCCAACCCCGTAATCACAAGAATATGATGAAAGCACCATGAAATGTAGGTTTGTGCTCCCAGAGCAGATTTCCAGAGCTAGGTATTCATCAGTCCCAGGCTTCCACTCCCTCCCTGCTCAGTTTCTCTTCCTCTGCCAGTGAGCTGGGGTGAGGGAAGGGCTCGGGTCCCACTGGGCCACAGCTTTGGTACATTACCTTGTTCCATGAGGTCTGCTCTTTTCTCCAGGTGTGTGCCATCTGGTGCCATCCTCTTTCCTGTTGCTCTCTCAGGGTTAGTTGTATTAATGATATTTTTGTATTATATGCAGTTTTAGGTGGAAGCCTCTGTCTCAGTTCTCACGCAGCCATCTTTTATCCTCTGCTCCTCTTTCCACTATTGTGGTTTTTTTTCATAACTTAGTAAATATTATTTATTCTTATAAACTTCATTGACTGTTTTTATCTACTTAAGGCTTTTGAGAAACAGCATCTGAAGTCATGGTCTAAAGACAAATGTAAAAGAGCTTCACAGAAGAGCATTCAGAACCAATGGCAAAAATAGATTTTGGTTTTAGGAGGAAGCCTCTGTCTCACCTCTCACGCCACCATCTTTAATCCTCACTTTGTCCCTCAACTACCCTTTCTCCCGTTCTTTCTCGGTGAGAAGGGGTAAGTGGTTACTTTGTGCCCTTGCCCAATTTGGCCAAAACCCCACCATGCCGCTTAGCCAGGGGCCATCCCACTAAGCATTTATTTTGAGTAACTTATGTAATGTCACAATGATGCAAAGGAATAGTTGTAACTATTCCTTTTTATAGCTCAGAGAACTGAAAGTCATTGTAGATTAACAAGTTGCCTTAGATCTCGTCAAGGATTCAAACTCCAGACATCTGACCCTCCTCTGTACCACTAGACCTCTTCCACAGAAATATCTGGAACTGTGGGATTATAAGAAAACTGCTCTAATATTATAACTGATAAGCAGCCAACATTTATTAAGGACTAGGAATTATGCTTAACACTTTACCTGGATCATCTCAATTAATTCTTATAATAACCTAGTGAATATTTTTTGTTTGCATTTTAGTTTTTATTATTTTTATTATTCACAACTTAAATAGATGAGGAAACCAAGGTTTAAGGTCAAGTATCACTGCTGTGGACTGAATTGTGCCTTCTCAAAATTTATCTGGGGAAGCCCTAACTGCCAGTGACTGTATTTGGAGATAGAGCCTTTAAAGAGGTAATTAAGGTTAAGCTAGGTCATGAGGGTGGGGTCCTAATCCAGTATGACTGCTGTATTTGTAAGAAGAGAGAGGAATGCCACGCGTGTGCACACACAGAGAAAAGGCATTGGGAAGATGCACCTGAAGGTGGCCATCTGCCAGGGAAGCAGAGAGGCCTCAGGGAAGCCAGCCCAGCCAACACCCTGACTTGGACTTCTAGCCTCCAGACCTGTGAGAAAATAAATTTGTGTTATTTAAGCCACCTGGTCTGTGGTGTTTTGTTATGGCAGCCCTAATAGACTTGCTAATTAGTGGTGGAATTGGTTATGGGCCTATTCAGTGTGGCTCTAAAGTCCATATTCTGAGCCAATTTCCTTTTCTGCCTTCCTTACAGAATTGGGCAGTTCTTTGCACGATTTTGGAGTGATTGGCATATAGATAATAGGAGCCATAAGAATGGATGCATCACCTCAAAACATAATTATTCTGTCTTTTCCAGAGTGTGAGCTCCATGATGGCTGGTTTTGTTAACTGTTACTACTCTAGTACTTAAAGCAATGAGTGGGAATGTAGAATGAGTAGATGCTTAATAAATTCTTGTTGAAAAAATGAAATAAAAAGAAAATAAAAGATACTACAGAGAAACAGGAGGGCCTCAGACGAAACCCTAAAGAACATCCACATTTAATGGATAGGCACAAAAAGAAGAGCTCTCATGTTTGGGTTGATGTACTAGCCAATGCAGAGCCATAATAGAGTTTGTAAACACACACACACACACACACACACACACACACACACACACACGACATTCAACACCTGGCTTTGCAAGTGATCCTGACACACACACACACACACACACACACACGACATTACACACACCTGGCTTTGCAAGTGATCCTGACACACACACACACACACACACACACACACACACGACATTACACACACCTGCTAGGAGCCCGAGCAGAAATAAGTATGTGGAGGTAGGGCAGTGGAGGAGAAAATGGAAGGCATGAGGGCTGATGAGACCTGCAAGTGGAGGGATGACAGCACTTTGGTAACAGGGAGTGACAGGGGATTAGGCAGAAGAAAGTCAAAGATGAGTCTTAAGTATCTTGCCTTGCCTGGGAGACAAGGGGCCAAGTGACATGTTCAGAGTTACACAGTTTTCATTTCAGGAGCCTTTTATTTTTTTCTTATTGAGGGTATATTCTGTCACGAGCTTAGACTCTTGGGCTGGGATTTGGTTTACACTTCTGGAGTGATAAATTTTGAGTTGTCAGTTCAGCCAAAGGAATATCACTACTCACACTTGACAACTTCTAAAAAATGTAATTAAAAATGAAAGTGCTGACAGCACATAAAACAACACATTTCCAAAGCCGACATATCGTTTTGGTCCCCAAAGCTATTTTGAATTTGGATGTTAGAAATGCATCTTTAAACTTCCATAGGGGTACAAGAGTCTTTTCCCAATCTGAAGAATGAATTTAAAATCTGCTGTAGAAAAATACCACACAGAAAAGTATAAAAAGCAGCTGGTCCTCTTTCCAATTTCAGAGCAAGAAAGACATTTCGGTAGAGCATGTAAAAGAAAACACAACAACAACAAAAAATAATCTTTGCTGTGTCGCCTTTTACAGTTGTTTTCTGTTGAGTATTAGATAGACACCAGCAGGTTTAACATTGTTTTGATACCCTTGCAACTGGCAGATTACCCTCCAGAGGAAGTTGGAAACGAACTGACCAGCTTTGTGTTTCCAGGTGGCACTTAAGCCACATTTTCTGCACTGTTGTTATCAGTCATTTAATTCCCTACTGAATATTGTGTGGTGTTTTTAGTTCACAGGCCATTTGCAGTGTCTTTCTATTTTCTTTTTTTAGTTGGCCACAGTAAGAAAAAAAGGCAACTCGGGAAGGACTTCTGCAAGTGTGAGTTTAACAGCAAAGCACACATTTGAAAATAACATAGCAAAAAGCAATAATCTTACTTTAACTTAAGACTTAGAGATGTTAACCTGAAGAGAAATTTGTAGAAGGCATCATATGAAAACTTGCTTCTAAAAGCAACTTGGCAATTAAAAAAAAACCTAATTAATCTGGCATCCCAAGGGAGAGAATAAAGAAGCAGTATTATTTTAAAGCTTTTTATTGATTTTTTTTTTTTGGTATTGCTGAAAAGAATAAAAAGAGAAGAAAAAAAGTTTATGGTTTTATGTTGATCATAATAAATTCAGTAGCTATCTGTGGCTTCCTTATCAAAACAATATCAAATATCACATAGAACACTGAAGGAGGAAAAAGTATTGAAGGAAGTAAATTAATTTATATGGTGGAGTCCTGTGGTAGAATCTCCAGCAGCAGCATTAACCTGTTCTTTGTCTTTGGGGAACATCTGTAAACCGTAATTAAGCAATTTTCATTTATTTCCTCTGTTTCTTTTGTGATGACTAAATCACTGCAGTTAGGGAACAAATTGACAAATTATAAAACAGAAAACTGCTGGTTCAGTTGCAGACAGAAATTTCCTTCTTCAAATTATGACAGATTTTGAGTTGATTGAGCCATTTTGTCTTAGATATATTAGCATAAATCCTTAGCTACAATTGTTATAATTCATATTCCACACAGAAATATTTGGTCCATAGATAAAATAATTTGTTTTCTGTGTCTGTTTTAGTTTAGGTGTAATTGGATCAGGAAAGCAAAGTATTTAAGTATTTACAACATTTTGGATTGTAATCATTAAATTAATTTTTGGTGGTGTTTCTAATGCATAGTATTTTGTCACAATAAATATCTTTTCTAGCGTGCTTTCTCAGTGAAGTAAGATTAAGAAGTGTTAAAACTTGGTTTGTGTACAAATAAAAATAATTTTCCTTGATTCTCTAAATCTTTTGAATTTATGTATATGTGAGAGAGAATGTACCTATTCTATGTAGTATAATTTTGTGTACATTTAAGTTAAAGAGATGAACTTGTATTGGCAAATGGAATCTTGAACTTGTACAAAACACAGAACTGCTAGTGGCCAGATCAACTTTTAAGATAGTCACTCTCAGCCTTTAATTAGCACATTTAAACAGTATTAAGTGGATGCTCATTTGTTTTATATGTACTTCTGTGTAACTTGAGACATTCTTTTTACTCGTTGTTAAATGTGTTGTTATACTTGAAGGAAAAGAGTAAATGACTTGACTTGAAACTGAGGTGGTCATAAGTTTGCGTCCTTTGATTCAATTAAATGAGCACCTATTCAAATCTGAATGGTTTTAGTGAAATGTTCTTTCAGCCATAGAACAATAATATTTTCTTTGAAATGGTCAGCTAAACCCAAAAGGGATACAAACAGGAAACTTGATCTTACCCAAATTCATATCTTTCTTATATGCAAATCAAACCACAATCTGTCTAGTTTGAAAATTTTTTTTAGTGTTTTTTAAATTTCTACTTGGATTCATTCCAGATGAGATAGATTTAAGTGACACCAGTTAGCTCACTTTTCTTGCAGCACTGGGAAGAATCACTATGTCATTTTCATGTGTTTTCTGAACTTATCCTGTTTTTGCATTAGTTTTTATAGTGTATGAATTGCTGGTTAGGAAAAAGCAACTGGGAATCAAGTACCATATTTTCTTTTTTCCACCCTTCTCCGTAACTTAGGATTTGTGTGACTTGTAGCCAGTCGTTTAATTTTTGGGTATTGGGTTTAGTCCCTAAGTATAATGTCAGTCCAGTTCTTGCTAATGTTGAGGTCATTTCGATATTGACTGGGTTCCTGGTATGTTCTAAGCATTGAGCTAGAATCTGGGAATACAAGATGAATGAGACAGGGTCCCCGCTCTGGTATGTCCTTCTTATTTATTTCTGTGTTCTGGGCATTCCAAATGCTCTAGATGTGTGAAGTCACTGTAGCAATCTATACATTTACAGACAGTATAGTTAAAGGTTGATTGGTAAGGCAATGTTAACTGCTCAACATAGTGCTGGTAAAACTATTCATAATATGGCTTTTGGTTTGGGGGTCTTGATTTTAGATTGAATAAACACCCTTGCATGAGTTAAGAAAAGAGTGATGAGAATGATTAGAACAGTGGATTTTCAGACTGCATTTTTTTTTTTAATTTTATGAAAGATTTCCTGGAATGCCAAAATGAGGGAATGTGGAAGACATGTACAACTTAAGTCTGCTATTGCATTGCCATACTGTTGTATGCCAATGTACGAGTCCTAGATTATTACAGATTTGTGCAGAAGATGTTATTTTACCTCATAAAGTTTGAAAACTCTTAAGGAGCACTTACTTGTAAGAGAGATGGAAAAATTACTCCCTCTAACTTTCTCCAACCTTTTGGAATAAAAAGGTTGTCTTAAGTCAATGCATCTTTGTGCAGGCAGGCAGAAGGGCAAGATGTGAGGATGAAGGAAAATTTTTTAGGTTGGTGGGATTTCATTTTATGAAGAGTTTGGTATACTACCCTTATATTTCTCATTTTGCTGTGGCAGAGCCAGGGTAATGGAATGGGTTCCATTCAAGCTTAGGATTCAGAGGACCTAGTCCAAGCGTTTATTAATTCTTTGAGACTACAGGCCTGCCACTCTCTGAATCTGTAAATCGGGGATAATTCTGCCTGCTCAGTATGTCCCATATGGTTGTGGTGAGAATCAGATGAAATATATGTGAGGGTACTTGGTAAGTTTTAAACATTTACTCAAGTGTAAAGCTTTATGTTTATGGAGACTATTTATGATTTAAAAGAGGAACATCAAGGTTAAATATTAAAGAAATCTTGAACATACAATATAAAAAATTTAAAATATTTTCCTACAGTATTAGTTGTCTACTTGCTATTCCACAAAGTACTTAAAACTAATTGTGTGTAGTATATATTGCATAGTGTCTGTGTACAGTGTGTTTGTATAATGTGATGCCACAGTTCAGGGAATTATCCTACACTGGCCTCTGGTGGATGGACTAAATAATATGTTTACACATAACCTTTAGGCAAAGGTATTTAATTTGACAATGATAAGATACCAGATACCACTTCTTTTTCATTCTCAATTTTTAGATTCTACTCCATGAAGTCTTTATTTGGGACTCTTACTTTAAGTATATATAAAGATCACCTGGGAAATGCTTATTAAAATGCAGATTCTTGGGGATTAATCCCCAAATTATGATTCAGTGGTGCTATTATACAGCCCAGAAATTCAGATCAGTTTTGAGAAATATGCCCTACATGAGATCAAGGAGGGGGTATAGTGAGATACATGAATTCCCCCGAATTCTGTACATACTGCATTTTTCTAGGAATAGGGTTTCATGCATTTGTCCACACCCTCTACCCAAAGGGTAAGAATAATTATTTTACTTAAAACATAACTTTCTGTTTAATGTCACCATTTTATATTATTTAAAAGGCACTTTGACAATGAGAAGTGTGATGTAAAGTTACAGGAATAATTTTACTGTGATCTTTCTGATCTCTGATACAGAGGCTAGGATATAATAGCTTACAGAATTTAAGGGTGGGCTTTGGTTCAGACCTGTTTGTAAGTCTGAAGGATTATAGTGCTTGTGTGTATAGCCAGTCATTCCATCACAAGGAAATCTCATGGTTACCTCTATTGTTACTTTAAGAACTGTGTTCTTTATGAGCATTTTGCTTTGTGCAAGTTATAGGCAAGAGACTTGGGAGACCTGGCAATGAGACAGACAAGAGACTTGGACTAGGGACACATCTTGTTGCATGTATTTCTAGGAATTGGTCCTCTAATATTTTGATGCTTTTGGTGCCTTTTCTGCTATATATTTTACACATGAAGGTACTTTTAATGGCTTTTTCAAGAGTAAAATTTTATGATTAGGGTAACTATGATTTAAAAGAGGGACTTCAAAATTAAACATTGAAGGAATCTTGAGTCTATAATATAAAACGTGTAAATGTAAAATATTATACATGCATACATAGTTTTTCTTCTTACTATATCCAGGAAAGACCTTTTTAAGAAAGAAAGGAGATACATGTAGGTATTCTCTCTAGATTGAGGATTAGAAGAGGAAAAAGGATTAGAAATTAGAAAAAATACTTTTTACCCCTTCAAATAAAAATTCGTTTTTTTGTGCATAGTAGGAAAACTAGAAAATACAGAGAGGCACCAACACGCACACAGGAAAACAAAACATACTTTTTCTATAGCAGTAAATTTTCAGCTACTCTGTGGCCACTCAGAATAGACTGCATTTCCCAGTCTTCTTGTAGTTTGGTGTAGCCATTTGACTAAGTTTGTGGTATCCTTAGACAAAGAGATGGAAATGTGCTAAGGATGCCAGAACACCACTCCTGCCTGAATCCCTGGGTCATCTCATGGAATGGAGCCTGCCTACTTGTCCTAAACTGTTATATGACAGAGAAAGAAAATTCTTGTTTGAGTTGCTCTATTTTGGTACCTCCTTGAAGCCTTCACTAATAGCAGAGGGGAATAAAAGTACACCCATTCTTCTCTTTCTTTATCCTCTGGCACGGAGCAAGAGTCACAGTCGTGCACCATTCTGGACTATGTGGAGAAGGGTGGTGGCCTAGGGATGGCAGAGCTGAAATATAGAAAGAGCCTGGATTCACAGAATGACTCTGTGGTGCAGAACGACAATATTGTCCTGAATAATTGACATCTGTACTATTGGATGAGAAACTTCCATCTTGTTTAAGCTATGGTTACTTTGTTTTCATGTAGGCAAAGCTACATCCAATTACCTAACTAATAAAATCATAATCCTGTCTTAGAGATAAACCATGGATATATACATTCTTCTTGAATTTTTCTGTTTTATAAATTTTATATATTTATAAAATTATTATTTAAGAACATGGAACTTGGAGACAACCAGGATTTGGCTCTTGAGTTCTGCTACTTTCTCACTAGGTGGT